CTTTTCTGTTTGGCCATTATTTGCTTTCTTCTGGGCCACTCCATTGATTTGAGTCCCAGTTTCCTTTTCATCTCTATGGGTTTCCTGTGGAATTCCATTCATTTCCCTTAGTTTAGCCTTCATATGTTTCTCTAATTTGTGGCTATAATCAACCAGATCTGTTAGGAACCTGATGACCAGTGTTTTAAACTGTGCGTCTGAGAGTTTTGCTATTTCTTCGTCACTTAGATTTATCTCTGGGGCTCTGAGGTCTTTCTGCGACATTTTTGGTCTGATCTGGCACTTTAAGGGGGAGAAGCGGGGCCTTGGACTCCCAGGTCGCTGGGTTGTGACGCTGTATGTGGGGGCGTGGTCAGAGCGGGGATATGGCAGCGCCCTCTACTGTCGCAAGCCACGGGGACCGCCGGGCCCGGTCCAAGCGCCCACTCCCTCGCCTGTCCGCTTGCCCACAGATAGGCAACCGCAGTCAACATGCAGCCCCGCCTCCCCACTGTCTCCTCAGCAGTCGCTCACCCGGTGGGTTGCTGGGTCGCTCACTAGGTCCAATCCTGGGTTTGGAACCCGTGCGTCTGGATTTGCGCGTCTGGATTCCGCGCCTGGGTCGGTCAGACCGGAGTCCTGTGCAACCCCTCATGAGACGCCGGTTTCGCTCCTTACTGGTCGGGCTGAAGAATTTGTTGTTACCGGACTTCCAAAAAGTTCAATTTTCCGTGTTCTGGTTGTGTTTTCTGGTGCTCATATTTAGTTGTCCCTAAACTTGGTTGTGTGAGAAGGTACGGCACATCCATCTATACCTCCATCTTGGCGGAAGTCTAAAATATTTCTACTGAGTGATCAACTGATAATCTTATGGGAGCTTCTTTGTAGGTATCTGCCTTTCTCTTGCTGCTTTTAAGAATCATTCTTTGTGTTTAACTTTTGGCATTTTAATTATGATGTGTCTTGGTGTGGGCTTCTTTGGGTTCATCTTGAGAGGGACTCTCTGTGCTTCCTGAACTTGTGTGACTTTTTCCTTCATCAGATTAGGGATGTTTTCAGACATTATTTCTTCAAACAGGTTCTTGATTCCTTGCTCACACTCTTCTGGTACCCCTATGATGCGGTGTTGTTACGCTTGCTGTTGTCCCAGAGGTCCCTTAGACTTTCCTCATTTTTTAAAATTCGCTTTTCTTTTTGTTGCTCTACTTGGATGCTTGCTGTTATCTTGTACTCTAAATCACTGGTTCAATCCTTGCTTCATCTAACCTGCTGTTCATTCCTTCTAGTGTATTATTTGTTTCTGACTGGTTCTTTTTTATGGTTTCTATGTCCTTTTTAATGTTTGCTATCTCTTTAAGTTTTCACTGAGATCATCCATTTTTCCCCTAGGGTCCTTGACCATATTTACAATCATCGTTTTAATAACCCTAAGGAGGTCTCAGCCTACCTGAGAAATACAAACAAACTGTTTTCTTAAATATTGTTTCATACCTCATACACTGGGTGCATAGGTTCAAGGTCATGACTAACTGTGCATTTGTACATGACTAATGTTAAGCCATAATGTTTAAGCTATCGGTTTGGTTATAATACATGTTTCATAAGGGTGTGTGATATTCAATAGTAAATTGTATCTAAGAGGTCCAATTCTGACTGCAACCTACACAGGGTTAAAATCTGCATCCGGTATCTCGGTTGCTTCCATTTCACTTAATATTTTTTATGGGCATTTCTCTTGTTCTTTTGTTTGGGGCACATTTCTCTGTCTCTCCATTTTTGTCTTCCTCTTTGTGTTTGACTCTGTGTATTGGGTATATCTGCTATGACTCCCAATCTTGTTATAAGGGCTTTCTGATGTACTTCCCTGTGGGTCTAAGTAGCACAGTCTTCTAGATCACTTGAGCTAGGAGCTCCAGAAATGTTTCTTTTCTGGGTTATGTGCCTCCTCCTGTTGTAATTGAGTCATGAGTACTGTTGGCCCATTTGTATGTGGAGTTAACTCTCAGGGTCAATGACTATAAGGATAAACCTTGTTTCCTGTGTATGAGTTGGTATTCTGGGGTTGCCCCCAAGGCAGAGTTGTTCCCAGAAAGTTCTGGTGCCTGCCAGAGTTCTTCTTTGGCTGTGCCATTTGTGTGGCTAGTTGGGTGTAGTTCTGGTGTGGTTTGAAGCCCAGCACTGGTTGTATTGGTTCTGGGCCCACTTGAATGGGGTTCTGGTGCAGGTCAGTGTCAGACATGTGTAACCAGCCTTGGGTTACCTGTCTGGAGCTACCATGCTATTCACTGATTGTTGCTGTGTCTACTGGGTCTGGGTGTACATGGGAGGGGCTTGGGTATCTGGGAGAGGGGCCAAGCTGTGTACAAAGGCCAGCTTCCTACAGCTCTGAGCTAGGGGCAGATCAATCGAAGATCCAAGTCTCCTTGAGTTCAGTGTCCACCTGTCAGCTGTTCCACCACTCTGTGAGATTGCCTGGACTTCCTCTAAAGCCTTTTGAAGAAATACTGAGGAGTGAACCCCAGTTAGCCACACCCCACTTCCCCTTCCACAAGGTGCAAGCTTGGTAGTGTGATGCAACCAGGTCAGAAGGACAGGATTAGTGGGTACTTGGGGGCAGTGTGGTCAGGAATTCAGTGGGGAAGAATGTGGCCTCTACTCCAGAGCCATACCACTTAGTTTCTGCTAAGAGTCTCCAACTCTACCTCCCCTAGATCAGGGGCCCCCAACCCCTGGGCTGCAGACTGGTACTGGTCCATGGCCTGTTAGGAACCAGGCCACACAGCAGGAGGTAACAGGTGAGTGAGTGAAGCTTCACTCACATTACTACCTGAGCTCCTCCTTCTATTTCTCCTGACCCCAATCCATGGAAAAATTATGTTCCACAAAGCCAGTCTCTGGTGCCAGAAAGGTTGGAAACTGCTGCCCTAGAGGGAATGCACCATTGGTTCAGGTTGGGTGTAACCAGCTGTTCCTATTGTAGGAGCAAGTGCAGCAGGGCAGGGCCACTGGGATTTGGGAAAACTGATCAAGACCATCTTCCATCTTCCGTTGGTGGTGGTGCAGGCTGAGCCCCAGACTGGAGCCTCTGAGGGAGATATACTCTGAAAATGCCAGCTCTGAGTGGCATTCCCATCCTCCCACCCAAGTGAGCTTGGTAGGATAAGCTTGGAGGCCACCAGGACTTGGGAAAACAGATCAAGACAGTCTTCCATTGAGGGTGGCACTGGCTGAGGCTTTGGCAGCAGACAAGCTCTACAGCTCTTCTTAGCTGTGCAACTGTGCCTGCTCCAGTCCCAGACCACAGTCTCTGTGGTAGATGTGCTCTGAAGGTCCCAGCTCTGAGTCACATTCCCTCCTTCTCCCTGTAGATTAGAGCTCAGCCGTACAGGGCCACCAGGACTTGGGAAGATAGAACAAAACAGTTTCTTGTTGGGGGGCAGGCCAAGCTTGCAGGTAGGGAAGAAGACTGGCCCCTGTTCCAAAGCCTTGCAGTTCCATGTCTGTCTGAGTGCCTATAATTTCTCCAGACAAAACAGCACACCAAAGGTCCCTGTTGGGTGCAGCTAACAGTCCTTTCTGCCAGACTAAAACTTGGCAGGGTGGAATCACCAGTATTTGGAGAACCGGTTAGTGCACTCCCTAGACTGGTGCTGTAAGAATAGAAGTGCCTGACCCTGGGAAGATGGCACATGAGGGCAGTGTGAGAGATTGACTCAGGACTTGGACCTCAGTAGCTGACCCTCCAGATCTCTCTTCAGGGCCATGCCACTTATGGGTTCTCCTTAGGACTCCTGTATGCCCTGAGTTGCCTTCCCTCTACTGGAGCCCCCGGTGAGTGATTGAGAGCAAGCTTCTCTGTATTGGCCCTTTAGGAGAGCACCTGGTATTCTAGCAGACTCCCTCCTCTTCTGGGCAGAGTCCCTACTGATTTTCACTGCCAGATGCTATGCAGGCTACACTTCCTGGCCCTTGGTACTCTGGGTTGGGGATCCCCATGTGGGGCTGGGACCCCATGCTCTTCAAGGGGTACATTTGCAGTCAAGATATCCCTCTGGCTTCTAAGCTGCTGCACATGGGTGCAGGGGCCATCCCTCTCCATGTCTCCATCCTTCTTACCAGTCTGTATGTAGCTTCTATAAATCCTTAAATATAATACTCCTGTTCAGCTGTCCTTCAGTTGGTCATTCAGATTGATTGCTCTATAATTTAGCTGTAAATCTGGTTTCGCATCAGGAGCAGATGAGTGTAGCTTTCATCTACTCTGCAGCCATCTTGAAGGAACTCTCCCAACATTGACAATTCTTTTTAAGTTAGGCTCCTTTCTAATTTGAGAAGTATGTCAGCCTACTGAAGACAAAGTCATGAAGTGTACAGAAGCCATTTAGCTTAGCTGAGAGGATCTGCCAAATACCAACTTAAGTATTTCATATATTTTAACAAAGAGTCTTACAGCTACACTCATGACTTGATCTGTACCCTGAGGCCATTTTTCACCTTGAAAATATTTTGATGGCTGGAGAAATGGGAGATGTGAAACAGTTATTTTCTAACCCAGCAAGTCCTAAATTTGTTTGTATTTCTTCTGAATTCTACTTGCAAATGCAATAGTCATTCTCTGTCTATGCCATACCACCCTGAATGTGCCTGATCTCATCTGGAATAGTCATTCTCTTAGTTCATATTTGCCTTTCTGTACCTTATCATATGCAGTTAATAGAAGAAAACTAATACTTCCAACACTCTGTTGAAAAATCTCCTTAGCTAGATCCACAAGTTCTATTGGTACATTCTCTATCTTCCCACAGTGCATAGGGACTGTTTTGCTATTTTTTCCTTACTAAATAGCATGGGATGTCATCTTTTCCAGCCTTTCTTAACAGATTTTCTCATTGTTTTTCCTCTCTACCTGCTTCCCAGGCCCAAAGCCAATGCCACATGTTTTATGTTTTGCTAAAATATCCCCCCATTCATACACTTTTAAGGATTATTAGCATTGGTTATACAATGAAGTACCCCCAAACTTAGCAGTTTAAAACAATAATTATTTTATTTAACTCACAATTCTCCAGGTTGGCTGGGATAACTGCTATGACTTCTTTTGATATGGGCTGGCTAGGCTGGAGCTGAAGGTCAAGGAAGGCCACGTTCCCATGTCTGGCAATTGGCCTAAGGGGCCTCAGCTGGGTTGGCTCTTCTCCGCTCCACCTGGTTTCTCGTTCCTCAATAGAGTAATCTCAGCTTGTTCATATGAAGATCTTAGAATTCCAAAGAGTAGCAAGAGAGTAAGCCTCAAGGCAGTCTTTTTTCACACTTCTCCAGCCACTTCTTGAATCTTTTTGCTAATGTACAGTGGCCAAAACAAGTCATCTGGCCAACCTCAGATACAAGGAGTAGAGATAGAGCTCTACCATTTAATAAGAGAAACAAGAGTAATATTAAAAAGGAGCATGCATAAAAGGACAGGAGAGATCTGTGGCTATTTTGCATTGTACCACAATGAAAGAGGATAAAAATACAAAGTCATGGAAACCAGTATAAATAATAGGATTACATTTATGTGTTTATGTAAAATAATACTGCAGGTACATGTAAATATAAAACCATAATGACTTTGAATTCATGTGAGAGAAAATTCAATAAAACATATCTGACAGACACAATTCTATTAAATTCAATAGATGAACTTCAATTATTCCTCCTGTTGTGCAATGTGTTCTGCCACAAACAACTCACAGAACTGAGTAGGTTTACACACCAAATATATTTTGTTGTCCTACCTTTCATTTTGTTGTCACTTTAAATTGGTTAATATAACACAGTAAACATGACTGACATAAATTTTCACACTCCATCTATAAAGAATTTCATAACAATTTGATAAACCTCCCTTTACAATAGGAAGGTTTTTTGCCTAATGCATCAAACTGACAGCATTTTTTCCTAGTATGAATTCTATTATATTTCATGAGGTTGTGCAAATATGAAAATTTCCCTTCATTTAATGCATTCTTAGAGTATGTCTTCAAATAATTTTTCTCATCTCAAGTGAGAGACCTTGACAAATGCTTTTTATTAAGTAATATATTCATTTAGGATCTGTCTTGGATTAATTTTATTATATACAGTTAAGCCTGACTTCTGTGATAGGCTTTCTCATTTTCAAGAAACAGAGTTACTTTCATGTATGAATATTGCGATGCATACTCAGAACTGATTTCTGAGTGAAGCCCTTTCCACAGTCACTACATTTATAAGGTTTATCCCCAGTATGAACTGTCTGGTGTTTATTGAAATTTGACCTGTCAGTGAAGGCTTTCCCACATTCCGCACATATATATGGTTTCTCTCCTGTGTGAATTCGTTGATGTACTTTGAGATGTGGTTTCTTAGAGAAGGATTTCTCACAGTCAGGACATTTATAAGGCTTCTCTGTAGTATGAATTCTCTGATGTGTAATTAACTCTGACTTCTGGATAAAGGCCCTCCCACAATCAGCACAAACATAGGGTTTCTCTCCAGTATGAATTGTCTGGTGCTTATTGAAATTTGACCTGTCAGTGAAGGCTTTCCCACATTTAGCACATATGTAAGACTTCTCTCCAGTATGAGATTTCTGGTGAGTATTGAGATTTGACCTATTGGTAAAGGCCTTCCCACATTCAGTGCATATATAAGGTTTCTCTCCTGTGTGAATTCGCTTATGCATCTGGAGTTGTGACTTAGAAGGGAAAGACTTTTCACAGTCACTGCATTCATAAGGCTTCTCTCCGGTATGAATTCTTTGATGTGCAATCAAGTGGGCCTTCTGGATGAAGGCCTGCCCACATTCAGTACATATATAGGATCTCTCTCCTGTGTGAATTCTCTGATGCATCCTAAGTGTTGATTTTTGGGTAAAGGCTTTCCCACACTCACTGCATTTGTGGTGTCTCTCTCCAGTATGAATTTTCTGATGTACATTGAGGGCTGAATTCAGGGAGAAGCCTTTCCCACATTCACTGCATTCATAAAGCTTTTCTCCAGTATGAATTGTCTGATGCCTAAGTAGAGATGACACCTGGAAAAATGATTTTCCACATTCACTGCATTTATAAGGTTTTTCTCTAGTGTGAATTTTCTCATGCATAATTAATTCTGAATTCTGGATGAATGCCTTCCCACATTCAGTACATATATATAGTTTTTCATCTCTATGAACTCTCAGATATATACTCAGCAGTGGCTTCTGTGTAAAAACATTTATACATTTGCTAAGTTCATGAGGTTTTTCCATAGTATGAATTCTCTGAGATGCAAAGAAGGGTGACTTCTGGGTGAATATCTTCCCAAATTCAGTACACATATTTGCTTTTTCCCCAACAGGAAATTTCAGATTGTTATTGAGATTGAGGACTTTTCCACACTGATTACTTTCATATAATTTCACTCCTGTATGTATATTTTCATGGTTAATATAAGAACTCTGGGTGAAAAGTTGACTGTGTCCAATAATTTTATCGAAGTTCTTCGTTGCTTTGTTTTTAGTATGAAAATGTAAGTCTAAATTATGCTTAAAACTCTTTTCAAATGAGGCATATTTATGGGGTCTTTTCTGTGGAGCAATAATATGATTTGGGCTTGGATGAACAAATTTTCCACTGTCTTTATATTCATAATGCCACTCTGTATTCAATATTTTCTTATTGATGAAAGTAGCATGACTCACAGGTTTGTTCTGTTTTACCTGATATCTTTTTATCTGTTCAGCATCTTGCCACAGTTCTAAAATTGAAAAATTCCCCTTCAATGAATCATCTCTTATATCTTCACCCTCCATTTCACTATGAAATGAAGCTTTCTCAGATATTCTTTTTTGTGAGGTATTAATCCCAAACTTCCCATCTAAAAAGAAGGAAAAAAAATTAAAATCAACACAAAGAATAGATAGCAGAAGATTAAAAGTTACATATAAGTTACTCCAAATTGAATACAGGGAAATCAGCAAATCTGATGATGATGATGATGACAATGATAACAGAAAATACATATATAACAGTTATTGTGTGCCAAGCTCTTGCATGACACTTATGATATTCCAGGCATTATTCTAAGCAATATATACATTTGAACTCATTTAATCATTTCCAAAATTCTATGAGGTATTTTCTATTATTATTCACCTATTGTAGATAAGGAAGGCAAAGCTTAGAATGGTTATCTATATATTTTGTCCTAATACATGGTTATTAAATGTTGCAGACTGGACTTCAACATAAGTAATTTTGCTCAATTTTGGCAGGAGGCTTGAATATCAAGTAGGGTGGACTGAAGATTAAAAAAATAAGGGATTTCAGGGTAAATATTGATGAAGAGCCCAGTCTTGGAGGGGGTGACTCAGAGTTTAAGGCCTCATTAGTTTTAGATTATAAATCCTCACTAATCATGTTGCCTCTTGCTTATTAGCAGCAACAGCAAATTCATGAGAGCAAAAAACCAATTTAACTTGCTAAGGGAGCATATCCTAAAAGTTCTCATCACAAAGAAAAGAACATTTTTTTTATATCTATATGAGATGGGTGTTAACTAAACTTACTGTGGTAGTCAATTCACAATGTATTTAAGTCAAGTCATTATGCAGTACATCTTAAATTTATACACTGCTGTGTGACAATTATATCTAAAATAAAACTGAAAAAATGTATTCATGCCTCTAGGAAAAATATTGTGATGGTAGCTATATTGACCTACACAAACAATAAATGGATTTGTATACTCCAACTCTCCATTCATGTGTAATTAGTTTCTATTGAACACAACACCCATCAAGAGCCAAGAAAAGAGCCAAATATACATTCTTTTCATAGACATATGAAACATTCCCCTAGATCATTTGCTGAAATCATACAGTGTATTCTCAGACTTCAACATAATTAAATTAGACAAAATAAAGAAAATAGACAAATTCCTCAAAAAATACAACTTTATGTATATTAAAGAAATTGAATTTGTTTTTAAAACTTTTCCACTGAGAAAACCCCAGGCCAAGACAGATTGACTGATGAATTCTGTGAAGCAGCATAAGAATAAATAACAATCTTACACAAACTAGTTCAGAAAACAGGGAAGAGAACTCATTCACAATTCATATTCTGTGGTTAAGCATAACTAATACCAAAACCTGACAAAGACACTGCAAAAAACTATAAATCAGTATCACTCATGCAAATATTTCTAAACAAAAATAAAAATAGAATCCAACAATATATAAGGATAATATATCATAACCACCAATATTTATCTCAGAAATACAAGGATAATTTAACATTTGAATATCATCAAATAAATTTACATATTAACAAAATAAAAGCAATAGCTCACATGATCACTCCAATAAGATGAAGAAAAAACATTTGACAAAATTCAACACTTAGCTATGATTTAAAAAAACCCTTTAACAAGCTAGGATTAGAAAAGAATTTACATAATCTGATAAAGGGAAGCTTCAAAAAACCTACAGCTAAAATCATATTTAATAATATACATTTTTTACCCCTAATATCTGGAAAAAGTCAAGCATACCCACACTTCCACTTTTATCCAACATGAAACTGAAGGTCTTAGTGAAATAAGGGAAGGAAAAGAGGTAAAAAGCAAGAGACTGGACAGGAAGAAGTTAAAGTGTCCCTAAAGTGATAATCATTACTTACATGAAAAATCCCAAGGAACCTACAAGAAAAGTAATAGGTGGACTAGTTATGCCTCAGGATACACAATGTACAAAAATCAATCACTAGTGATCTATACTAGCAATGAGCAATCTGAAAAAAAATTTAAATGCCATTTACAGTAGTGTCAAAAAATTAAATATTAGGAATAAATTTAATGAAGGATGCATAAGACTTCTACATTTAAAACTATAAAATATCACTGAACAAAATCAAAGATCTAAGTAAATATAAAAATATTCACCTTCACAGATTAGAAGGCTCAACATTGTTAAGATGTCAGTTATCCTAAAATTGATCTAGAAAGTCAACTCAACTCCAAACAAAATCTCAGTAGGCATGTTTTAAAAAATTATAAACTAATTCTAAAATTATATGGAAATGTTAATTACCTAGAAAAGCCGAAATAATAAAAACAAGCAAAGTTGAAGAACTTATCCTACCTAATTTCAAGACTCTTTATAAAAGCTTGTATGGGTTTGCCAAAAGTACTATGTATTAACTATTATTTTCTTATTTTCTGTACTCTTGATGCTCTGCCACCTGGTGCCTTGCTGATCCTGAAGAGACTGTCCCTCCCAGGGGTAGTTAACTCTTAGAGACATCAAATAAATTCCCTGTGAGCATACCTTTCAGATGCAAACCAACCAATCCACAAGCCCATATCCACCAACTATCTCTTTTATCAAGTTTTCACAGTTGAAGTCACTATCTCTCTGCCCTAATCACCTCAGGGTCAGGTACCAGGCAACTAGGGACAGTCTCTGCACCACAGAGCCTCCAATGAATTACTCGAACTAGCCAACCCTAAACCTTCCTTCCCAGCCTGCTTACTCTACCTCACCCATTCTTTCTCAAGAAAACCACAATAAAGGCTATTGCCTATGCATTCCCATCACAACTTCTGCCTCCTGACTGACCCTGGTACTTTCTGGTCTTGCATGGTGTGGCATGGCCCCTCATCTTGGGAACTATGAGTTACAAATGATCTTTTCAGTGCCAATAATCTCTGAATCTGTTGGCCTCACTATACCTAAATAATAATAAAAGCACTATTTTAAAACAGGAAGACACATCAATCAAAGAAACAGAGAATACAGAGTCAAGAAATAGGTTCACATATGTAAAATCAATTGATTTGTTGAACATGCCTTGGAAATTCAATGGAGGAAAAGAAAGTCTCTTTAACAAATGGTTCTGGAACAACTGGATATCAAATTGAAAAATGTGAACAACAATTCTTACATTAAACATACAAAATGGATCATGGACCTAAACCGAAAAAGCTAAAATGGCAAAATTAATAAGAGAAAATATGAGAACGTCTTTGTGACCTTATGGTAGGCAAAGACTTGCTAAACAGATCACAAAAAATACTAACAAGTTTTTAAAAGTTGATGAATGAGGCTCTGGCCAGGTAGCTCAGTTAGTTAAAGCATCGTCCCAGTACCCCAAGGTTGTGAGTTTGATGCCTGGTCAGTGCACATACAAGAAGCAATCAAAGAGTGCATAAATAAGTGGAACAACAAAGTTTCTCTCTCTCTCATTCTTTCAAATCAATTAAACAATATTAAAAGATGGCAAACTCCATCAAAATTAAAATTTTTGGTCTTTGATAGGCACTAGTAAGAAAATAAAATTGCAAGGCACAGATTGAAATAAAATATTGGCAATACATAGATTTGGCAAAGGAACTGTATCCAGCAAATATAAACAACTCTTACAACTCATTAAGAAGAAGACAAACAACCTAATAAAATGAGAAAGATACTTGACACTTTGCAAAAAAAGTACAAATAGCCAGTAAGTACAAAAAGTACAAATATGAAAAGATATTTAACATTACTCACCAGATGAATGCAACTTAACCGCATAATAAGATACTATTACATATCTATTAATACTATAATAGCAAAATTAAAGAGACTGATGATAGCAAGTGTTGGTGAGGATGTAGAGTAACATGAATTCTCATGTATTGGTGTTGGGAATGTAAAATGGCACAGCCACTTTGAAAGACAGGTTTGCAATTTCTTATAAAGGTAAGCATATAGTTATTATATGACATGGCAACTCCATTCCTAGGTATTTACCCAAGATAAATATAAACATATGGTCACACAAAGACATACAAAAATGTTCACTGTAGGTCATAATATCCACCTGTCAACAACAGGCATATCAACAAATAACCATATATTCATACTGTGGAATCGTATTCAGCATCGCAAAGGAACCAGTTAGTGATATACTCAATAACATGGATAAATCACAAAGTAATTATGCTGAATGAAAAGAGCATGGACAGTATGATTCCACTGACATAAAACATTAATAAAGACAAATACAATCTATAGTGACAAAAAATGTCAATAGTTGCCTGGGGCCAAAATGGTGGTAGGCACTGACTACAAGGGGCATGAGGAAGCATTTCTGTGTGATAGAATGTTATATAGCATGACTGGGGTGGTAGTTATACCAGTGTGTACCTTGTCAAACTGTACATTTGAAATGGATACACTTTACTGTGTGTAAGTTATACCTTAATAAAGTTGATTTTGAAAGAAAAAATGCTACATGCTAGTGCTTACAAAGTTAGAAGATGGGAGAGTGGCATGAAGATGGGGGTGTGGACAGGAGTGAGGAATCTGAAGGTAATATGCACAAAGGGACGAGGTGAGGCTGGTTGTAGGTGACAGTTTATTGCTATCTTAGAATGAGAAGAACAAAAGTGAAAGGAAGAAAGTAAAAGGATACTAGGAAAAACAGGAGTGAGGCAACCAACTGACTTTAAAAGAAGGCAAATTCATAAAAACCTGAATGTACAATATATGATAAGACTGTAAGACCCTGGGGTTGGGGTTAAGTAATGAAGCATAAAAATGTGATAGAAGAAGAGAATATCCAAGAAAGCAACATCTATAGTGAAGGAGGCTGACATATGATCCAGAGAATTAGGAATTGTAGTAATTCTCCTAGAGGAAAGCCAAGCAAAGAAGACAGTTGATAACAGTAAAGAAAATAAAAGGAGAAAGTAATTTGGTACCAGAGAGGCCAATGTTATTTATTCTCAAGCAGTTTCTAAAGTTTAAACCTTCAAGAAAAACAGCAATAACAGCATTTTAAAGGGACTAGCCTCTCAGAAAAAAAAAAGTATTTCTGTATCTCCCTTCTGCCTGGGCCACACTCACCTGAACAGCTTTCATATGGGGTTTCTCCCTCCAACATCCATGGCTCCTCTCCTTGTTCCAACTTGAAGATGACCTCTGGTTTGGCAACTTCATACCCTGTTAATAAGACATAATAGAGAACTGGGTCCAGCTAATTGTTTTCCACCTGTTCTTTAGAAAAGTAACCACATTTCATTGGGAAAAGAGCAATAATCACAGAGGAAAGGGACTGAAGAATCTCAGACCAATCAAGGACAACATCATCACACACTTAAGATGTCCCAGAGCACTCAGCACCTGAAAATGGAAATACCCTCACTGACATTCTGTCTTAGTTTCCTAGGGCTGCTATAACAAAGTACCAATAACTGGCTAATTTAAATCCACAGAAACTTATTATCTCATATTTTTGGAGGCTAGAATTCTGAAATCAGGGTGTTAGCAGGGTCATGTTCTCTCTAAAGGACACAAGGGAGAATCCTTCCTTGCATCTTCTAGCTGCTGGTGTTTAGTGGCAATCTTTGGTGTTCCATGGGGTGTAAATGCATCACTCTGGCCACCAGATGGCTGTCTTCTGTCTGTGTGTTTCCTCATCATCTTCCTTCTATACATGTCTATTGCTGTGCACAAATATTCTTTATAAGGACACCAATCAGATTAGAGCCCATCCCCATGACCTCATATTAATCTGATTACCTCCATAAAGACCCTATTTCCAAATATGGCCACATTCTGAGGTATTGGGGGGGTTAAGTCTTCCATATATCTTTTGGGGGTACACATCCCATTAGAGCTTGTACTCTGACCCCCCAAAATTAATATCTTCCCTATGTTCAAAATATATTACCACCACCCTGATATCCCCAAAAGTCCTAAGTCCAAAACTGTATCTAAAGATCACCAACTCAAAGTTTCAAATGTTATCTAAATCACCCAAATCAGTTACGAGTGAGACTTGAATATGACTCATCTTGACACAGAATTACTCTCCATGAGAACCTGTGGAAGCTGACAAATTATCTGCTTCCAAAATACAATGGAAGGTCAGGCATGGGATAGATATTTCCTTTACAAAGGGAGAAATTGGAAAAAAAAAAAAGACTGCAGGTCCCACGCAAGTCTGAAACATAGCAGGGCAAATTCCATTGAACTTTAAAGGATTGAGAATAATTCTTATTTGCTCAATGCTCTGTCCTTCAAGTCCACTGGGGGGGATGGTACCACCCCCTTGGCCCTGGGCCAGGAATGGCAGCATTCACTATTACCTCTAGTGGTTCACTAGCAAAATGTTTGCTTTCTGTTCCCTTGACCTTATACTCTGCTGGTCTACAGGTCTTAGTTCCAAAGCCAGGAATGCTCCATCCACCAGGAGATTCAACAGTGATTACACAAAACTGAAAGTTAGGGACATTTTGGGCTCCTCATGCTCCCCCTTTTTCAAAATATATTTTATTGATTATGCCATTGCAGTTGTTCTATTTCCCCCCTTCATTCCCCTCCACCCTGCACACCCTCTCCCCCATCATTCCCCCCCTTTAGTTTATGACCACGTGTCTCAAGTTCTTTAGATTCTATATTTCCCCTACTATTCTTGCCCCCCATCTATTTTCTACCTACAGTCTATGCTACTTATTTTCTGTACCTTCTCCCCTCTTCTCCTCCCTTCTCCTCCTCCCACTCCCCTGTTGCTAACCCTCCATGTGATCTTCATTTCTATGGTTCTGCTCCTGATCTAGCTGTTCTCTTAATCTGCTTTTGTTTTAGGTGTAGTTGTTAGTAACTGAGTTTGCTGTCCTTTCACTGTTCATCTTTTTTATCTTCTTTTTCTTAGGTAAATCCCTTTAACATTTCATATAATAAGGGCTTGGTGATGATGAACTCCTTGAATTTGACCTTATCTGAGAAGCACTTTATCTGTCCTTCCATTCTAAATGAAAGCTTTGCTGGATAGATCAATCTTGCATGTAGGTCTTTGGATTTCATGACTTGGAATACTTCTTTCCAGCCCCTTCTTTTTTTTTTTTTATTTTTTTTAATTTATTTTTTAATTGATTATGCTGTTACAGTTGTTCTATTCCCCCCTTCATTCCCCTCCACCCTGCCCCCCATCCCCACCATTACCCCCCTTTAGTTTATGTCCATGTGTCTCAAGTCTTTAGGTTCTATATTTCCCATGCTATTCTTGCCCCCCCCATCTATTTTCTATCTACTGTCTATGCTACTTATTTTCTGTACCTTCTCCCCCCATCTCCTCCTCCCACTCCCCCTGTTGCTAACCCTCCTTGAGATCTTCATTTCTATGTTTCCACTCCTGATCTAGCTGTTCTTTTAGTTTGCTTCGTTTTAGGTGTGGTTGTTAATAACTGTGAGCTTGTTGTTCTTTCACTGTTCATGTTTCTTTAACTTCTTTTTCTTAGATAAGTCCCTTTAACATTTCATGTAATAAGGGCTTGGTGATGATGAACTCCTTGAATTTGATCTTATCTGAGAAGCACCTTATCTGTCCCTTCCATTCTAAATGAAAGTTTTGCTGGATAGAGCAATCTTGGTTGTAGGTCTTTAGATTTCATGACTTGGAGTATTTCTTTCCAGCCCCTTCTTGCCTGTAAGGTCTCTTTTGAGAAATCTGCTGACAGTCTGATGGGGACTCCTTTGTAGGTGATTGTCCCCTTAGCTCTTGCTGCTTCTAGGATTCTCTCCTTCATTTTAATTTTGGCTAATGTAATTATGATATGCCTTGGTGTGTTTCTTCTTGAGTCCAACTTTTTTGGTACTCTCTGGGCTTCTTGGATTTCTTGGAAGTCTATTTCCCTTTGCCAGATTGGGGAAATTTTCTTTTATTATTTGTTCAAATAATTTTTCCACTGGTGGTTGTGTCTTTCCCCCTTCTGGTACCCCTATAATTCGGATATTGGAGCGTTTAAAGATGTCCTGGAGGTTCCTAAGACTCTCCTCATTTCTTTGAATTCTTGCTCCTTGACTCTTTCTGTTTGGCCATTATTTGCTTTCTTCTGGTCCACTCCATTGATTTGAGTCCCAGTTTCCTTTTCATCTCTATGGGTTTCCTGTGGAATTCCATTCATTTCCCTTAATTTAGCCTTCATATGTTTCTCTAATTTGTGGCTATAATCAACCAGATCTGTTAGGAACCTGATGACCAGTGTTTTAAACTGTGCGTCTGAGAGTTTTGCTATTTCTTCGTCACTTAGATTTATCTCTGGGGCTTTGAGGTCTTCCTGCGACATTTTTGGTCTGTTCTGGCCCTTTAAATGTGAGAAGCAGCGCCTTGGACTCCCAGGTCGCTGGGTTGTGACGCTGTATGTGGGGGCGTGGTCAGAGCGGGGAAATGGCGGCGCCCTCTACTGCCGTGTGCCACGGGGACCCGCCGGCCCCGGTCCAAGCGCCCACTCCCTTGCCTGTCTGCTCGCCCGCAGGTAGGCAACCGCAGTCAACACGCAGCCCCGCCTCCCCACTGTCTCCTCAGCAGTCGCTCACCCGGTGGGTTGCTGGGTCGCTCACTAGGTCCAATCCTGGGTTTGGAACCCGTGCATCTGGATTCGCGCGTCTGGATTCCGCGCCTGGGTCTGTCCGACTGGAGTCCTCCTGTGCAACCCCTCACGAGACGCCGGTTTCGCCCCTTACCAGTCGTCCAGCCCCTTCTTGCCTGTAAGGTCTCTTTTGAGAAATCCGCTGACAGTCTGATGGGAACTCCTTTGTAGGTGACTGTCCCCTTATCTCTTGCTGCTTCTAGGATTCTCTCCTTCCTTTTAATCTTGGCTAATGTAATGATGATGTGCCTTGGTGTGTTCCTTCTTGGGTCCAACTTTGGGACTCTCTGAGCTTCCTGGATTTCCTGGAAGTCTCTTTCCTTTGCCAGATTGGGGAAGTTCTCCTTTATTATTTGTTCAAATAAGTTTTCTACCCGTGGCTGTTCCTCTTCCCCTTCTGGTACCTCTATAATTCGGATGTTGGAACGTTTAAAGATGTCCTGAAGGTTCCTAATCCTCTCCTTATTTTTTTGAATTCTTGTTTCTTCATCCTTTTCTGTTTGGTCATTTTTTTTCCCTCTTTCTGGTCCACTCCTTTGATTTGAGTTCCAGTTTCCTTTCCATTACTATTGGTTTCCTGTGCATTTCCCTTCATTTCAATTAGTTTAGCCTTCATATGTTCCTCTAATTTGTAGCTAAAATCAACCAGTTCTGTGAGCATCCTGATCACCAGTGTTTTGAACTGTGCATCTGAAAGTTTGGCTATTTCTTCATTGCTTAGATTTATCAGCTCTGGGGCTCTGAGTTGTTCTTGAGCCATGTTTGATCTGTTCATGCCTGTTATGTATGAGGAGAGGAGCCTTAGGTGTTCACCAGGGTGAGGCCACCCAGGTCACTGGTTTGTGACGCTATATGTGGGGGCGGGTCAGAGAGGGAAAATGGCAGTCCCCTCTGCCACTTCCCTCCACTGGGGCTTGCTCAGTCCGTCTCACTGCTTGCTCCTTCACTGGTTTATCTGCGCGCAAATGTATGACCGTGGTCAGCACTCAGTGGGTCCACCGCCTTGTGCCCTCAGTGGGTCCGCCCGCTACTCCACACCTGGGATCCGTCCTCGGCTGCCTGAGTGCCTGGGTCACATGCCTGGGTCGCATGCCTGGGTTGGTCCAGTGGATCTTTCCTGCCTGACCCTGCTTGGCAGCTGGCTCTGCCCCCCTTACTGGTCTGGCTGAATGGTTTGTTGTTGGACTTCAGTATAGTTCAATTTTCTGTGGTTTGGCTGCGTTTTTGTTGCTAAAACTTTGTTATTTTCAAACCTGGTTGTACAAGAAGGTACAGTGTTTCCACCTATGCCTCCATCTTGGTGGAAATCCTTGTTCTTCAGATCCTGGATGACCATGCATTTAATACCTTAAAAATTTATGTCAGACAAGTATAATAAGGTTGGCTCATTGTGCCTGATGTCTCATGACAAAGTGGGAAAAGAAAAGGACAAGCTCAGGGATTTGACAAGCTCAGGGATTTTGCAGCTCAAGCACTGCATAAATGACCTAAAAATTTCTACTTCTGTCCTGAAAGAAAATTTTAGCTTCTGTAGCTTCAGTGCTGAGATTGCTGAAAAGCAAACCTGAGTGTCATCCTTAGAGTGGCTAAATTACAACCCAAATTGAATTCCCAATTCGGTAGGTATCTGCTATTAAAGTGAAGACACTGTCTGAAGGAATGGGATCCTGAAAATTGAATGTGACCATATGAGGACATGGAACTTTTAAATTCTGATGAATTTTCTTTGCCAGCACAAGCAGTCTTTCCACTCCTCACTGAGCAGATTACTCCTACTTTGCCTGAGGAGACTGCAGTGGCCTCACCTGAGGCAGTTGCCTCAGAAGGCACTGCTGATTCCCCTCGGCACTCACCCCCAAACCCCTCTTTGCTTCCAGACCTGTAACTAGACTCAAGTCTCATTAGGCTCCAAGGGGTGAGGTGTGACCCATGAGGAAGTGCACTACACACCAAATGAACCACACAATTTGTTCCATTTATACAGACAGAAATCTGGGAAATATCTTTGGAAATGGATATTAAGAATGTGGTGTAATGGAAGAAACAAAGTTGGATCGGGCTGAATTTATTGATATGGGCACACTAAGAAGATTTGGAGTTTAATATTTCCACTTGATGGGTTAGACAGGGCTTGAACAGTTTTGTTGGTTGACTGAAACACACACCAAAAAATGGTCCATATTAAATGCAGTTGACATACCAGAACTTCTTTGGTACACTGTATAAAAAGATATCCAAAGGCTTAGGGAAACTGGAATGTTAAAGTGGATTTATCATGTAAAATCTGCTCACCCACACTGGGAGGGTCCAAAGAACACACATCATCACAACTGTGAGAAATAAATTTGTAAGGGGAGCACCCCCCCCCCCCGTCCTTGAAGAACTCTGTGAATGCTCTTCTCTGTAGGTCAGAAATTACAGTAGGAACCATGGCCAGTGAATTGGGAAACCTAAATGCAATGGGGGTAATTGGATCCAGGGGTGTCAGGGGCCAAGTGGATGCGCTTAACTGCCAAATGCAAGGTGGATGTGATTACTGTAATGGACAGCAGGGTCACACCAGTATTCAGCATACTCTGACTTGCAGAGACCTATTGTTGTTGGCTACTTAATCATGATGTCCCTAAAATAGAGACAGATGGGCAATCTACTAAATCCCTACTTGATCTGTATAAGCAGCATTCTAGGTCAAATAAATAGAAATCTAATTTGAAGCATAAAAACAGAGTACTGAATCCTCAGTCAATTACCAGATGAACCAGTTTAGGGACACAGAAACCTTTGAATTAAGGGAAGACCCAGTCCCTTGAGGAAGGGCCCCACTATACTGCCAAAAAGATATACTACTAACCTTTCTCCCAGCCTTCCTTGAAGGAACCTATAGCCTTTTACCAGGGAGATTATGCATTAAAGAAAAGGAAATAATGAGACTTTTCAGAAATTACGGGACACTGGCTCTGAACATGACACTGATTCCAGGAGACCCAAAAGGTCACTGTGGCCCACCAGACATAGCAGGGGCTTATGAAAGTGAAGTGATTGCTGGAGTTTTGGCTCAGGTCTGTCTCACAGTGAGCCCAGTGTGTCCCCAAATCCATCCTGTGGTTATTTCCTCAGTTCAGGAATGCATAATTGGAATTGACATACTCAGCAATTGGCAAAATCCTCACACTGGTTCTCTGATCTGTTGAGTGAAAGCTACTATGGTAAGACAGGCCAAGTGGAATTGCAGAGATAGTGCCACCATCAAGGACTTAAAGGAGTCAGGGGTGATTATTCCTGCAATATCTCCATTGAACTAGTCTATTTATCTCGTGGAAAAGATAAATAGATCTTGGAGAATGACAGTAGATCATCAGAAGCTTAAGTAGGTGGTGATTCTAACTGTAGCTGCTGTACCAGATGTGGTTTCATTGTGAGCAAATTAACACACCCCCTGGTGCCTGGTATGCAACTACTGATCTGCTTTTTTTTTTCTTTTGCTATACCTGTTAGTAAAAACCACTAGAAGCAGTTTGCCTTTTACTAGAGTGACTGTACTATAAACAAGGTATATACAAGCAAGTCCGACTATATATCTTTACTGTCCTACCTCAGAGATATTGAAGCAGAACCCTGCCATCCTCTGTGGATAACTGGTCTCCTTTTAAGAAACAGCTTTTGGCTTGCTACCGAGTCTCAGTGTATTTACTCACTGAATTTAAGCAGTGGAGGAAAGGAAGCTTACCAAGGATTCCCTCAGTGACAGTGAGTGGACACGGAAAAGCCCAATACTGACTAAATTGAATCTTTGCCCTGTAGTGAGACGCAGGAAATAAGATATATGGAAGATCTGCTTTCTCATGTCACTTGTAGTGAACCCAAGTCCTCCTAATTGAGGACCTGTGGGTGGTGTGAGGCCAGTAGCAGCAATTGGACCACTGACACTTGGTCTTCTCAGAGTTGTGTTCCTTGAGAATGCAGGCTAAAGTGAGTGGTAAAATCCATGTAAGGCTAAATATCAGCATGAAATTAATAGTCAACAAATACCATAAGGGAAAGTTGAAAACAACTTTGAAGAAAGCATTTAATTATTGACAGGTGTGACTTCAAATCAGCTGTGGTGACCTCACACCTTCAGCCCTAGGTGGTAGTGCTGCCCCCTCAGGCCTGAAACCAAGTGGGTGACTCACCTTCTGGAACCAAAGAGATGGCAGCCTATCTCCTTGCATTTTCCTGGCCTGTGCCTTCTGGGCCTGTGGTGGCAGTAATATCCCTGCTGGCTTCTGAACCATTCTTGGGGTCATACATCCTTTTTCTTGGAGTTAAACACATATTCACAGCCAAATAGCTTTACCAGCTTGTTTCCTGTCTCTGAAATCCCATAAACCCAACAGGTTTCCTTCATTTTTTCCTGTCTGTCCTCTTCAGACTGACTGGATCCACAAGTCATACACCAATCTTTACCAATCGTTTGTCCAGCCACAGTCTTGGTGTTCTTTCCAGAGTACACCTTCTTGTGTTTTGCAATATGAACAGGTTGAGAATTTTCCAAATCTTCATGTTCTAGTTCCTTTTTACTAAAAACTCCTTCTTCAAATTCTCTCTTTCTTTCAGCATTTTACTCCAAGTTGCAAGGAGAAACCACATCATGCCTTTATACTTTGCTCAGAAATCTCCTCAGCAAAATATCCAAGTCCATTGCTTACAAGTTCTACTTTCCACTCAAGGGAACACAGGTCAGCCAAATTACCTGCTACTTTATAACAGGGATTGCCTTTCCTTCAGTTCCCAATAATATGTTCCTCATTTCCATCCAAGACTTCACCAAAACCACCTTTAACATTCATATTTCTTTTTTAAATTGTTGTTCAAGTACAGTTTTCTGCCTTTTACCGCCAGCCCAGCCCATCTCCTAGCCCTCCCCCCTCCCTTCCATTTCCAGCCCCACTTGTTATTGTCCCTGTGTCCTTTATACTTGTTCCTGCAAATGCTTTGCCCTTTCCCCCTGAAATTCCCTCCCTTCTCCTCTCTGGTCACTATCAGCATGTTTTCAATTTCAATGTCTTTGGTTATATTTTGCTTGTTTGTTTGTTTTGTTGATTAGGTTCCTGTTAAAGGTGAGATCACATGGTATTTGTCCTTCACTGCTTGGCTTATTTCACTTAGCATAATGCTTTATAGTTCCATCCATGCTGTCACAAAGGGTAGGAGCTCCTTTTTTATTTCTGCTGCATAGAATTCCATTGTGTAAATGTACTGTAGTTTTTTGACCCATTTATTTACTGATGAGCACTATTCAAATGTCCATACTACCCAAAGCAATTTACAGATTCAATGTAATAGCTATTAAAGTACCAATGGCATATTTCACAGATATAGAACAAACACTTAAAAATTTATATGGAACCATAAATGACCCTGAATAGCTGCTGCAATTTTGAGAAAGAAGAGCAAAGTAGGAGAGATCACAATACCTGATACCAAACTGTATTGCAAGACCACTGTAATCAAAACAGCCTGGTACTGGCATAAAAACATTCATATTTCTACCAACAGTCTCTTCAAGGCAATCTAGGCTTTTTTATTTTTTTTAAAGATTTTATTTATTTATTTTTAGAGGGGAAGGGAGGGAGAAAGAAAGGGAGGGTAACATCAGTGTGTGGTTGCCTCTCATATGCCCATTACCAGGGACTGGCCTGGAACCCAGGCATGTGCCCTGACTGGGAATCGAACCAGCAACCCTTTGGTTTGCAGGCCCGCCTCAGTCCACTGAGCTATACCAGCCAGGGTAGGCTTTTTCTATCAAGCACCTCAAAACCTTTCCACTTTCTGCCCACTGCCCAATTCCAAAGTCTACTTCCATGTTTTCTTAGGTATTTGTTATAGCAGCACCCCATTTCCCAGTACAAAAATCTGTATTTTTTTTTTTTTAGGATGGCTCTAACAAAGTACTACAAACTGGGTGACTCAAAACAACAAATTTATTGTTTCACAGTTATGGAGACCAGGAGTTCAAAATCAAATTGTCAACAAGGCCATACTCTTTTTGAAACTGTTAGGGAAGGAACTATTTCATGCCTCTCTCTTGGCTTCTGGTGGTCTCAGGCATTTCTTGAGTTATAGATGCATTGCTCCACTCACATGGCCATCTTTTCCTTGTATGTCTTCACACTGTCTTCTCTCTGGGTGTGTCTGTCTCTGTGTTTAGATTTCCCTTTTTCATAAAGACACTAGTTATACTGGATTAGGACCTGCCCATATAACCTCATTTTAGCCTGATTACTTCTGTAAAGACTCTATTTCCAAATAAGGTCACATTCTGAGGCCCTGGGGGATAAGACTTCAATGTATTTTATTTGGGGGACAAAATTTTACCCATAACAGGTTCCTCGCAGATGAAGAGGGTGACTGTGCTTACCCACTGAGAGCAGGTGACTGTAGTTCTCCAGTGTCACCTCCTGGTACAGGCGCCTTTGAGTAGAGTCCAGTTGCTGCCACTCTTCTCTGCTGAAGTTCACAGTCACATCCTTAAATGACACTGAGACCTGTAACAACACAATCCTGTTCAAACTGATATGGTCAGCACTGGGGGATGGGGAGCACATAGATAAAAAATAGTTTTTAATGATTTTTTTCACCACAATATACCATACCACATATTTATTAAATACCTAATTATACATAATGTTGTGTAGAGTACAAACATCAAATTATAAAATCTTGCTATTCATTGCGTATAAATTTAGTCTTTCATTTAAAAAAAATAATAATTTTGTACAGAATTTCACCCTGATCCTACCATGTTGCTCATTTTCATTACAAATTTGCGTTGTATAACTTTTAGGAAGAAATATGTATATATGTTGTTTAAAATGTCACATAGGGACTTCCGGTCAAGGTGTAAGCATAGATAGGCAAGTTATGCCCCTCACACAACCACAAAAAGAATTACAACTAAATTTCAAAACAAATAACACCCACAACTGTCAGAATATTGAACTGTATGGAATCTGACAACCAAGTCTTTAAAGAAGCCATAATCAACCAGACAGGTAGGAGGGGTAGAGACATGGAGACAGGGCACAGAGGCAAGGAGACATGTGTGGTGTGGAAAGGTGATGGGGGCAGAATGGGCATAGGCAGTCCCACATTCACATGTGGTGAATGAATATTGGGAAGGATACTTTGGGAGTGAGTGTTTCCAGCCCCAGGCCATACTGCACAGCCCAGGGTTCCAGGGCCAGGAAGATAAGTCCCCATAACTTCCGGCTATAAAAACCAGTGGGGGTTGAGGTGGTGGAAGAAACTGCTGGATTTTCAGTAAACTTTGCTTAAAGGGCCTGTATGGTCTTCAAATGTATGCAAACCAACCCACTCTGGGATTCAACACCAGGGCCAAAGCTGGAAGGGCACCAGTCACATAAGAGGAGTGAGTGAAATGACTGAGAACAGGGTGAGTGCTAGGCAAACCCCAAGAAGCCAGGCAGTGGCACAGTTCCCTCTCTGAGCCCTCCTCCAACACAGAGCCACAAAGAAATGAAGTGAGTTGCCCCACCCTGGCAATTACCTAAGGCTTTGCCCCACACAAGTTACAGCTGCCTTTTACAGTGAATCAAAGCAGCACTACCTAATACACAGAAACAAATATGGGTGGGGGGTGGGGGGTGGGGCTACCTAATTGAGGAGACAAAAAATCTGAACCAAATGAAAGAACAGGAAAAAACCCAGAAAGAGAACTAAACAAAATGGAGAAAGTCAACCTATCATATGCAGAGTTCAAAACACTGGTGATCAGGATGGTCAAAGAATTCACTGAGTATAGAAACAACCTAGTGGAAGAAAAGAAGGTTATAATAGGTGAAATAAAGAAAAATCTACACTGTAGATTCTACAGGGAAGCAACAGTAAAGGGAAAGAAGCATTCAAATCAACGGTTTGGGACATAAGGAAGAAATAATCATTCAATCAGAACAGAAAGAAGAAATAAGAATTCAAAAAAATTAGGATGGTATAAGAAGACTCTGGGACACCTGTAAACATCTGAATCACAGGGATGCCAGAAGGAGAAAAGGAAGAGCAAGAAATTGAAAACTTATTTGAAAAAATAATGAAAGAAAATTTCCTTAATTTAGTGAAGGAAATAGACATTCAATTCCTGGAAAGCACAGAGAGTCCCAAACAAGTTGGACCCAAAGAGGACCACACCAAGACACATCATAATTAAAGTGCCAAAGGTAAAAGATAAAGAGAGAATCTTAGAAGCAGCAAGAGGAAAGAAGAGAGTTACCTAGAAAAGAGTACCCATAAGGCTATCAGCTGATTTCTCAAAAGAAACTTTGTAGGCAAGAAGGGACTGGCAATGCCTTGGCTGGTGGGCACATGAGAGGAAATCACACATTGATGTTTCTCTCCCTCTCTTTCTACCTCCCTTCCCCTTTGTCTAAAAATTAATAATTTATTTTTTAAAAATGAAGGGACTGGCAAGAAGTATTCGAAGTCATGTAAGGCAAGGACCTCCACCCAACATTACTCTATCCAGCAAAGCTATCATTTAGAATGGAAGGACAGATAAAGAGCTTCCTGGACAAGGTAAAGCTAAAGGAGTTCATCATCACCAAACCATTATTACATGAAATGCTAAAGGACTTACTTAAGAAAAAGAAGATCAAAACTATGAACAGTAAAATGACAACAAACTCACAACTATCAACAGCTGAACCTTAAAAAAAAGCAAAAACAAAAACAAACTAAGTAAACAACTAGAACAGGAACAGAATCACAGAAATGGAGATCACATGGAGATTTATCAACTCGGAGGGAGAAGAAGGAGAATGGGAGAAAAGGCGCAGGGAATAAGAAGCATAATTGGTAGGTACAAAACAGATAGGGGGATCTTAAGAATAGTATAGGAAATGGAGAAGCCAGAGAACTTATGTGCATGACCCATGGACATAAACTAAAGGAGGGATTGCTAGAGGGAAGGGGAGTGTACCAGGTAGAGGGGGCAAAGAGGCAAAATTGGGACAATCGTAATAATCAATAAAATATACTTAAAAATAAAATATAAAAAACTTAAAAATAAAAACTTATTTCATATAGATCCCTCTACTGTTGCTTTCATTGACTTTAAAAAATATGGCCATCTTCTCTCTCTTGAAAAAAATTTATTTATTTATTTTTAGAGAGAGGGGAAGGGAGGGAGAGAGAGAGAGAAACATCGATTGGTTGCCTTTTGCATGCCCCCAAACAGGGACCTGGCCCGCAACCAAGGCATGTGGCCTGAGTGGGAATGGAAATGGTGACCTTTTGGTTTGTAGGATGATGCCCAGTCCACTCAGCCACACCAGTCAGGGTGGCCATTTTCTTTTGATGCCTTTTTATTGCTCATTTCTAATTTAATTCCATAATAGTCAGAAAATATATTCTGTATTTCTCGTCTGAATTTTTTTCTCTCTTTTTTCCTTTTTGCTCAATCCCTCTGAATTTAAGTGGACATCTTAAAAAGAAAAAGTTGCTACTGTGCTGCAAAGCCTGAGTTAGCCAATGGGCATGACCGGAGATCAATGCGGCTGTGACTGCAGAATTGAGACATCCCTAAAGTTGAAATATATGGCATTATTCACAAGAACCCTGCCGCCTGATACAGGGTTCTGGGTATACTGAAAACAAGATATTCATTTGGTTGAACCCTGAGCAGCTGGCCATATTGTTCCAAACCAAAAACCAATGTAAAGATTTCCTTGCTGGAATACAGCCAGCCTCCCACTCCATGCCTCATCCCTCTCTCCCCCTCTACCTTGATATCAACTGCTTTGAAGAAATGATTAGTAGGGGTGGGACAGGGTTCCCTGTTCCTAAGAGGGACCAAGGCCATACATACACCCTCTGAGTATGCTGAAGAACTTCAGGGAATGGAGAACCTCAGACTTTTAAAGGCTATGTTAGATACAGGTGGCTAATGAGTGCCCATCCTACCTGATCTCAAGGAGGTGAAGGAGCAGCCAAATTCAGCTGACAGGGTTTCAGCAGGTATTAATGAGGAAATGCACTTAAGCCACCTTTGGAGGGGAGGGGTTGGGCCAATTTAATGTACTGTCATTGTAGCTTCCATGGCTGAATATGTCACTGGTATGGTGTTTTCAATGCTTGTTGTATGAATGCTAATAAAGTGCAAAGGGGGTTCTCCTGTTTCATGACTGATGTGTGTGGATGCATGGTAGCAGGGCATGCAAATCACTTCCCACCCATCTCTGTGTCCTCTCCCAGGTGGTCTAACAGGAACAACAAAGAATTCCCAGAGGACAAAGGGAAGTCACAGCCTTGATTAAGACTAAAAGGCTGCAGGTGTAATTATATAATGTGTCAATACATCAGCTTTATATGGCCAGTGAAATAGCCCAGCAAGGGCTACAGAGTCACTGGAGATTACTGCCAGTGGAATTCTGCTGTCACTCCCATGGCCCTGACTGTTACAGACATAGTGACTGTAACACATTGCAAAGATTGACGATGTCACGTGGGATGCTGGGTTGGATGATGCCTGGGTTTTCTCTTTTTTTATCCCAGTGGAGTTGACACTGACTGCTGTCAAGGATTATCTGAGCTGCCCCTGTGGCAACTGGGTTTAGGGAACCTACAGTCAAAGTTTTTTATTTAATGGAATTTTCCCTGTGGCCAAAGGGGAAAAGACCTTGCTCCACCCCTTCCCTTTTCTTAGAGCATTTCCCTGAGAAAGCTGGTATTTGTATATCTTTCTTCTGTCCATTTGATATGTATGTTAATCTTTTGAAAAGCTAAATAAACCTTTTGTCAGAATTACAGCCTGGGCAAACATCAAGGACAATAGAGTCCCTATCTACTTGTCACCCTGGGAATTTAGTCTAGGCGCCTGGCTCCAAGCTTTAAACAACCTGCTTGTCATAGAGACAGAAGTTTGATTTTGCCTTTGGATAAAGCAAATTAACTAGCACAGATGGCCACTCCAAATACCAGGTGAACCTAGGGGGAACTATGAAAGAATGCCAAGAAAAACAACACTTAAGTCCTCTTGCATGAGAAGTTATCATTTATCTTGAGAACATGTATGTGATAGGTTATATCTGCTCAGCTACATACAAGGGTGATATATCTTTTTTTTTTAAGTTAGGTAGTCTCTTTATTTAGATAATTTTAAACACTGTATAAACATGACAGTGTAATCTGGATTCTAAATGAAGTTGAATGTTCATACTCAGAAAATATTTTTATGTGGGACTTTTGGCCAAGATGGAGGTGTAGATGGAAACACTGTGTCTCCTCCTCTCACAACCAAGTTTAAAGACAACAAAGTTTTAGAAACAAAAATGCAACCAAAACATAGAAAATTGAACTATATGGAAGTCCGACAATAATGAACCTTTCAGCCAGACCAGTAACAGGGGCAGAGCCAGCGGCTGGCGGAGCGGGGTTGTGCAGGAAAACTCGGATGGACCCAACCAGGTGTGGGCTGCAGTTGGCAGATCCCAGGCATGGGGTTGCAACAGGCAGAACCTATGAGGGTGCAAGG